TGTGCTCCTGTGTCTTTTTGTTTATAAAACAAATAATAGGGTTTCAAACAAAACTTCTGAAAAGAGAGACAATCCTGAGAAAAGTTGAAATATATTCAAACCTGAAATAAGTTACATGCAAACAGAAACAGAATAAAAATAATTTTATACAGTTTTTAGTATCAATTTCCATAAAGAAATCCAACTTCTTCCTTTATCCAGCCATTTCCTGTCTATGGTATATGTGATAAAGCCAAAGAGAAGGAAACCATTAAGAAAAATGGTTTATATTCATATCTTAAAGAAAATACAGAAATGAAATAAAATCTGGTCTGAAGAGAATAACATGGCATGGTGGTAATAATAATAATAATAATAATAATAATAATAATAATAATAATAATAATGATAACAATAACAATAATAATAATAATAATAATGATAACAATAACAATAATAATAATAATAAAAAGAGAGAAAACAACAGTAAGGGAAGAAAGGAAAACCTTAAAAAGACTCAAAGGAAACTCACGTCCAGGATCATCACAGAAGTGCAGGTCAATCCTCTCTGAGTAGAAGTGGTAGGAGGTCTCTGGCACGTCGTACTTGTTGAAGATCTTGGTGATGTTGGACTGAGACTGGTGCCCTCTGCCCGACCCGCTGCTCCCCCCACTTGCACTTCCCCCACCCCCTCTGGCCTGCTGCATCTGCTGGGCTTGGAACTCAGGCAGGGACTGAAAGTATAAGCAGACTCTCTTTTATATAAATTCAAAGTAAGGAGGAAGAAAAAAAAAACGAGGAAAAGAAACAAAGATGAAGAAGAAAAGGGCTTCAGGATACCAAAATTTAGCCTATTACATTATTCACTTAACTGTCCTTCTCAAACTAAGTGACATGACATGATAAAGAAGCATTTTTAGCATTTACCCTTTAGTCTATAGGAACATGACACTGACTTCACTATTTACCTCTAACTTCCGAACAGCTTTGGTCTTCTGGTTCTGCTGTGTTGCTTTCCGCACCAAGTCTGACAGGGAATCGAGGAAATGGAAGGCTGCTGTCAGCTGTGAATCAGTCAGCACCCAAAGCAAGTCGTCCATCAGAATCACCAAGCGGCAACCAATCACGGTGCAATCTGTTGACAGGATGAATAACAGAACAAAAAATTAAGTGAACAATTCCACCCAACTTGGTTGTTCTCTTCTATGACATTCTTTGTGTACAAATCCTGGCGTGCATTTCTCAAAGGAGCAACCAACTCTAAGGAAATGGGTCTCGGCTCACCGGCGAGTCTCTTCTTTATTGTGATACGACAGCGTGCCTGGTTTGTGATGAGTCGCAGAGGAGTCAGTCCCTGGTCTCTGGTAGAGCGTGCTTCCACTCTCAGGGTCTGCCATGAAAGCTGTGAATGACAAAATTGTAAAAATAAAATTAGAGCAAAAAAATTGGTTTCATGAAAGTATATCATCACCACAGATTAATTCATGAAAATATTTAATAATTATTTCTTAGATATAAAAACCAGAGAGAGACAAAGAGAGAAACCGGTATCTATATCAACTATCCACTATTTTTTTCTTACAAGCATATAGAATTGATACCTCTTTGAAGATAAGAAGTTCCCCCTTGTCTGGCTCTTTTAGCCTGGTCATACGCAGATCAGCTTTCTGCCAGTTTGGGTTTTTGGAGTCCAGCATGATGCGTGAGAGCTGATATTTGCAATGGGAAAAGATATCAATATTTAGTTCCTGTTCCTATTATTTCTGACTGAAAGGATTTTTTAGAAAGAAAAGAAAAGAAAAGAAAAGAAAAGAAAAGAAAAGAAAAGAAAAGAAAAGAAAAGAAAAGAAAAGAAAAGAAAAGAAAAGAAAAGAAAAGAAAAGAAAAGAAAAGAAAAGAAAACAAAGAGAGAAAAAAAAAAAAAAAAAAATCAAGTACCAATTCATCTTACACTGCAAATATGACATTCTTACACTAAAAATATTACACTGATGAAGAAAGTCTTCACAAAACCTAATTAATGAAAATACTGAATATAATAGATACATAACAGAGATAACACTATTAACATAAGGATGATAATGTCCAGGTAAAAACTGAAAACGAAGATGAGAGATAAATATCTATCTTATGCATTATCTCAAAGGTATCTCAAATAATATCTATCTTATGCATTATCTCAAAGGTATCTCAAATAATATCTATCTTATGCATTATCTCAAAGGTATCTCAAATAACATAAAACAGCCGCACACAAAAATTAATAGTTACTAATGATCTAATGAAACTTTGGAAAAGACTGGAAAAAGAGTGAAAGAAAAACTGTAAACAAAGATGGGACAGAAAAAACATACTGTATAATTGGATAGATGAACATGAAAATGTATATAAGCATTATAGCATTAATAAACTATAAGTACATGTTGAAAACACAAGTAAAGACAATTAAGAAAACTAAGCAAGAAGACCACTAACAATTCAACTATTCAATAAATATGGTGTCAAATTTAAGTGAATGATTTTGCAAAATGGAGAAAAGTAGCTTTATGAAATATATTTTTGCTTCAAACTGAATAAAATGGAACTAAGTCTAAACAAATCTAAGTATATTCTGTAAGTAATTATAAATAATTATTTAATGATACTGGATAAATAATTAAATGATAACAACACACAATCACTACATATACACTGCCTGAACACAAAGACCAAATGACATGGTTAAATGAATGTTAAAATAAGCTCACACTGATTTATTTTTCCCCAACAAGAATTGCTTATAGAAAATATAACAAAATGTCTCTCTTACTCAGATATAATTATATTTCCATGCTAAACAAATAAATGTTAGAACTCTTATAAAAACCAATAGAAGTAATACATCAAAGAAGACACAAAAATGCCTGGTAAGCAGAGGCTAGACAGCAATTATTGAATACCTGGAAAGAAGCCTGAAAAGCTGGACTGCAGAATGTAATGAGTACAGAGTTCACGGTGACAGTCATGCCATCAATGACTTTATCCGCAAAACCATAGCGTCCGCCCGAACTGTAGGAGGGGAGGACGGATGAGCTGGTCTGAGAGCGCAGGTCTGTACATGTTTCCATCTCTACCTGCACCTCATCCAGGCTCTGCAACAAAAAATATAAACAAATGAATAAATAAATAAACAAATAATAATGAATATATATAACGTTCATGACAAAAAATAGAATGCAACTACAACAAAACTTAATGAAATACATGCAGTGAGTCTAGGGAAAAAATACTGATATCTTTCTACTCAAAGATGAAAAAATGAATACAACATAGAAAGAAGTAGTCTCTTACCACTAAAATGGGTACACTCTTGAGCTTGGTCCATTGTATCTTGAGGTTGACGCGGTTCACTAATGCCCGTTTTATCCGCAACCAAGCAGGAAGTTCAAGGAGGTCTGTGAGAACTATTTCATTGAGCTCTAAGTTGGTGAGCTCACCCTCTCCCTTCAGTGTGCTCACATTCACACTATCTGATGACAAGTTCTTTGCAAATCTGTAATAAAAAGGTTACACTCAGTGATCTAAATCCCTTTTTTCTAAATTTATGCATTTTTTTTCTAAATATTGTGTATGAATGCATCAGGAAATGACAAGCTGAATAAGAGAAAGATATTTATATCCTCTTTGAATGGGCCCTTTATCATGAGACAAATCTATGTCCTCTACTCTATCTCCTTGACCTCAGCCTCTTAACTTTCAACTATAATACCGTAAATTTTCCATCATAAGTGAAAGTTTATGGTCATTTCAGGAAGAATAAAAGTAATCAGACATTTTCCTTTCACAATGGTAAAAAAATATATACTCTTAATCCTGCTATGAATAAAACATTTCTTAATAGAGCATTTCCTAATAGAATGGCCTATTCATCTGTGTTGTTATTGAAAATGATGGTAATTTACAAATATTTTATGAAAAAACAACTAAGACTATTCATATGGATTAACTTATATTTCTGATCAGATTTTTCTTTCTTATCCTTTCAATTATTTTTGCTGAAAGAGATGCCTAATAAAAACCTCTAATCACAAACACTATGTTGATCATAAACAACATGAAGTCAAGTCTGTCTGTAAAATCTGAAATCTGCTTTGAAAATTACTTGAGCATGATAAATATGTTGCACTCCTTATAATATACAGGGAGAATTATGTCATTCTTGAGGATTTAATAAGCTGATGTTCCAGTAACCTTGAGATGTCCTTGAGATGATTTTGATAACCCAGAGAGAAAGGCTAAAAAAATGCAGACAAATGATTTGAAATTACTACTCATATCTGTTAACTAAAATTAAGTAACAAAAATATGCCAGGATCACTTTTAATCACTCTGCAATTCACACACTAACTTAACTCACGAACTCTGAACATATCTACACTAAACTAACTGTATATATGGTAAATCTTCCTCTCCTTCAATTACAATAACAATAAACAATACTGCCTCACAGAATACCATCTTGGAATTATCATCTAAGTTACACTTTCAATACCACTACTAGCTCTCTCCTTACGAATTCTCAGCAAATAATGTTATTGAAAGGATACCCACGACCGAATACATAGTAATCCGAGGTAAAGAAGAATGACATAAGGAAAACTCCCACATTAGCATCATAACATTCGATCTGCCTTGCATCTATATAGCAATTCCTCCACCAAACCTCCACGAAAAAACCCAAACCAAGCATTAACGAATACCAATACCTAATTCCACCAAGAATAACTCGAAATACAACCCCGAAATCTGAATCGACTTGCCACATAGACTCCCGATCTCCCCCTATTGAAACCCTTCGCCTCCTACGTCACTTCCCTCCGCCACACACGTCTCCCTCGCCCTTCTTACTTCGACAAGTGTTTCAGGATCTGGTTTTTGATGAGGCCAGCCATCTCCGGGGTCGGTTTCAGAGGAAGAGGAGAGATTATTCCATCAATTCTTTCATCCCCGATCAATCAATCAACTTTCATGTTTACTCTGGGTTGGGGGAAGGAGGTCGCTTACACACCGAACTCGGGGCCAAAGGAAGCCAAGGGATAACGCTCGATATTTATGTCATTATGTACCCCGTGGCCTTTTTTATGATTATTGTTACTATTACTGTTATTATCATCACCTTATTTTTAATTGTTCATTATTTGACCATATTCACTTCTTTATAAGGGTTGTATGTTGTTTCTGAATTGCCACTTAATGCTTGTTTGTTATGTTATTTATTCGTTTATTAGTATTTTCTGCACTTAGTTGTCATCTAATAAGCATTACTTTCCCCGATCCATTCCGACAGCGGCCTATTAACGTATCTTTAGATATGACGAAGTCCTAAATTTGATATATGTGATGTAATTATAGAAATCCCTAACTATAAAAAAAATGACTCATTTTTTATCGCTATGCTCTTTGTATTGCACCATGGATGATCCAGGCTGGTCTATATATCATATCAGGGTATTTCTAGTGAAATTTATTATTGTTTTTATAGGATGCTGCGAAATCAAGAGAGATATGAACTATTCCGTAATAACTGAAAGAAAGAAAAAAAATCTGTCGCGCAGTACGATGCAGAGCAAGGAGCGAGATTGAATCACATAAAATAATAATTCCGCTTACATTTTACATCGAAATATCAAATAATTTATTTCTTAGCCCTTTATCTATTGTTTTATTATTACCCATAATCTAATTTTACTTCCATGTTTTTTTTCGCTGAGCATTCATTTGGCTTCCCTTGACATTCAATTTGAAGAAAGAATGAATCAAACCTTCAAACCTATAAACACAAACGAAAATGTAAACAAATCTCAAAGTCTGAAGGATGAGTCAAAAAAACAAAAGAGCATCGCATTTATAATCAAATATAGATTCAAACGAAGGCCTTAATGAAAGCCAATTCTTTATAGGTAAGACTCGATCCTATATATCTAAGATTTACACCCCCTATCACCCGCGAATGATGTAAATTTTCTTTCTTGTTTTGGTCGAGAAAGTCATTGAAAATTAATGTGATTTACGGAAAACTGAAGGATATAAATGGCAAAAAACTAGCGGTATATCATCTGCAGTGAAGGTAGTTATCATATCTGTATGTAAGTTGAATTTAAATGACAAGATATTATGGATTTTGAGGTATTTTGATGTCTTGGATGTACAAGGATCGCGTTACATCACTTGTCTGGAAAGAAAAAAATGTGAAATTAGTTCTCAGCGATTTTGTAAATAACATTCTATTGAAAGAAATAGCTTAATTAAATATTCAACCTTTCTTTCAGATTGCAGGTCATTCGTGTCGCATATACACAGAAGAAAGAAATATGAATATCTAAAAATGGTGAGCAAATTCTTTCGTCAAATACCTTTAATTTTATGGTCTTTATTTTTATTGTCCAGAGGAAGACTTTACAAATAAAGAGAAAAGAGGAAGTTAAGGCCATAAAAATATATAGAACGATATGTTATAAGCTAAATGTGTGTTAAATATAAGGTCACAGTTGCTTATCAAATCTATGCTTGTGTGGTTATATATTGCAATATATAGGCCTGTCTTTTGTTCTCTGACTATTGCAAACAAAACAATGGCAACAGAGATCTTTTTGATTGCTCTGACAGTTTATTGGAAAAAAAATTGAGCTATATCATGCAGAATGTATTTGGTGGATGTTGTTACCTTTGCTGGGAAATTTGGAAGCCATGGGGTTACTTAATGTGCTATTATTCTGCTTGTTGCTTTAAGTCTAAGTAGTCATAGCCATATGTTATGTGATATACCTGTTATATTATCATGGAATGAAAATAAACTGTATTAATGTACAGAATTTTTTTTTTTTTTAAGTCTTTATATTGAATATTTCCAAATGTCAGACTAATTACTAACGAGTAAAATATTTGTAGCGCCGCAGCCTAGCCCCAAGCCAGCTGCTGAAGCGCAGTTTGGAGACCAGTCGAGACTCAGACGACAGAATTGGAAGTCCCCTCACGTCAAAGAAGAAAAAGACAGTTGAGAATGAGCATTCAGGCATTCCTCTGTCACCCTACCGTGCTCCTCTTAACCCTATTGTTAATTCCACGCAGCAGGTTCTCTCAACACCTTCATCATCTCATGTAAGGTTTCTGTGATTATTATATTTTTTGTGTGTTGTTTGGTTTCTTCTTTTTCTTCTTTTTCTTCTTCTTCTTCTTCTTCTTCTTCTTCTACTTCTTATTCTTCTACTTCTGCTTCTACTTCTACTTCTACTTCTATTTCTACTCCTTCTGGGCATCTGCTAAGATGTGAAGTTCTATTTATTGCATATAATATTTCAGAAATGTATTTGCTTTACTATTTGATTTTTGTTTTAATTGATAAGAAGTACAAGGATGAATCAGGTATGTGAAGTTATAAATTCCTTTACAGGAGGCCCTAATCAAGAAGATTCTTGCCAAGCCCTTTAAAATACCCATCCCCAACTACGTCAGACAAGGGTCACGCAGTCTTGGCATCCGTCGAAATGGAGTCAGAAGACCTTTGCACGATCCAGAGGAGCCAAATGCACTGGTTTTGTACACACCCCCTTTATTGTCGGCCCAAGAAAAGCTCACTGCAAATTTGTAAGCTTCTTTCTGTTTGGTGTATTACATGTTGGTCTGGAATGTTTTCTTTTGTAACGTGATGTTTGGGGTTTCTGTGGATGATTTGATTTCCAAGTTAACTGTGTGTAAGTCATTTTTTTTAAGAACTATCTTGTTATATTTACTTTAAGACAAAGGAATTAATAAAAATTATATTTATTATATAATCTCTTCTTTAATAGAGCTCTTAGAGAGTCTGTGAGATAAATAAAAATTGCAGTTCAGAAGGGAATCTATATCTGTATTATATCACTCTAGAGAAAAGTTGGAAGTTGCTGTTGTCGTTGATCCTCTGCTGTCAAAAATTCTTCGTCCTCATCAGAGAGAGGTAAGGATTATTGTGCTATTATGCAACTCTGAACACATTTTATTATCCTCAGTGCTGGGAGCATATGAATACCAGCAGCATTAATGAGTTGATGTTAACCATAATCATCATTATTTATGGAAGAAACATTATTTTGATTAGATTATATGTTTGTCTTATATTACATATCATAGTATCTTTGTCCTACACTGAATATTCTAATTCTGTTCCTCATTCTGGACAGGGTGTCAAATTTATGTATGACTGTGTGACGGGCAAGCAGATAGAAGACAACTTTGGCTGTATCATGGCTGATGAAATGGGTCTAGGTAAGACATTGCAGTGCATCACCCTGCTGTGGACTCTGCTTCGCCAGGGACCAGACTGCAAGCCCTTGATTGAGAAGGCGATTGTGGTGGCTCCCTCTAGTTTGGTTAAGGTAAGTTTTCTAAGGTGCTAGCCTTTTTAAATTTTTTGTTGTGAGATATTAGCATAGATGACATAGATAGAATGTTCAGTGTTGTAAAAGCTTCAAAGGTGGGAAGAGTTATTTGTAGTTTGTTAAGGTATTAAAAACAGAAGGAAGTGTGAACTGTGTGATGCGAGGTTTGCAGATATCCTTTAAAGTTGAGATTTTTTAAAATGTAAAAGGGTGAATGATATTGATGATATTGATTATTTCTGTTGTGAGAGAAGATGACTTTATATGTGCATAAAAAACACATGAAAGTATGATTTTAGATATAATGTAATGTTAAACTGAGTTGTTGCCATACAAAACAGTCCAGTAGATTCCAGACTTTTTTTATTTATTTGATCTACTGGCAGCCCATTGATTCAAACTTTAAATATACACTAGAAATAATTTTATTCTCTTCAATTCAACATTGTAAAGATGGCTTGCTTAGAATTTCATACAATAAAACCTTGATGTTCCAGAACTGGCAGAATGAGATCAACAAGTGGCTGAAAGGCCAGCTAAACTCCTTGGCCATAGATTCAGGTGGGAAATCGGAGATAGACAGGAACCTTGAAGGGTTTATGATGACCCATGGGCGAAGACCTGTCAATCCTGTGCTAATCATTTCCTATGAGACTTTCCGAATGCACGCGCATGTGTTACACCAAGGGGAAGTAGGCTTGGTGCTTTGTGATGAGGTGAGATCTCTTAGTTTTTTTCTTACAGGTTGTTGATGCTTTTTATGTGTTATATATTTCCCCCAATTTTATCTCTTGATTAAATTGACTTGTTATAATTGTTTGTTTTTCTTTCTCTTTTTCATCTATGCACATCCTTAATATTGCTTTTCCTTAAAATATGATGATCTGAAACATATTTCATAAATATACAGGGCCACAGACTCAAGAACTGTGAAAACTTGACCTACCAAGCGCTAATGGGGCTGAAAGCAAGACGTCGAGTGCTGCTGTCTGGCACACCCATCCAGAATGATCTCCTCGAGTACTTCTCCCTCGTGCACTTTGTCAATGCAGGGATTCTGGGAACTGCTCAGGAATTCAGGAAAAAGTATGAAAGGCCAATTCTTAGGAGCAGAGATGCTGAAGCTTCTGATAAGGAACATCAGATTGGGAAAGAAAAGCTGGAAGAGCTTATAGCAGTTGTGAGCAGGTAGGCAGAAATGGTGACACTTGGTGATATTTTATCTCCAGTCTAAATGTGTGATATTTAGAGTTGAATAGAATAAATAGTAAAACATTCTACTCTGTGTGCACGTGTGTATGTGTGTGTGCATGCATTTGTGCGTGCTTGAGTGCATACATGCATGGGTGTATGCATGCATGCATGTGTAGTGATTTGGCTTTATTCTTTATTTACTTATGAAATATATTTGTTTTGTTAGATGCATCATCAGGCGCACCAATGATATCCTTTCCAAGTACTTACCGAAGAAAATTGAACATGTAGTCTGTTGTCCCTTGACCACAATGCAAGAAGAAATGTATGTAAAGTTTCTTAACTCTTCAGCTGTCAGGAAACAAATTACAGGTACAGCATTTTACAGTGTTTTTTTCATGACAATATTGAAATACATTGAAATACATAAACTG